ATGTACATGACTAGGTATATTCATTCTTATTACACGACTTGGGCAGTCAGAGGGCCAATAACTAAAATTAACCAATCAAAATGCTCTATTGGCGGTCCAATATTCTCTAAGTATTGGACTGAGCACTGTCCCGAATGGTCCCGAATGATACCGCGCTTGTGTCCCTTTGAACTTCTGTCGTATAATAACTCTCTTATTAACCAAGCTTGCTCGGGACCGTACTGGAAGAATATCAGCCCTCTGTCTTTTTTGTATGGGCATTGCTGCGCTGGGTCTGTACTGTCAAGACCTCAGGCCAATATTCTCTCGGTACGGCCCTCGCGCTTGGTTAATAAGATATATATATTTGACACCCATCCTGCATACTGTTAGGAGCAGCAATGTGGATAGCATTAATATTTATTATATAGATACTGATGAAATACCAGGATTTCTCCTTTTACTAAAAAGTCATATCTTCACCGCGTGCTGTGAAGATACTATTTTTATCCTTCATGTGTGAGGATATTGGTGTGGCCATGGTTACCAACATAATTACCCAATTGCTGTTTCAAAAATGAATAAAAAAAGTTGTCTTTTATGTGGAAATTTCATCAGTATCTATATAATAAACAGAACATTACATGGCCGCTTGGGGATATGAATTTTATCTTCTCGTGCTGAAAGTATCTCTCATGAGTGAGCACAGCGAACAAGTGAGAGATATTTTTAGCACTCGAAGATAATATTCGTATCCCCGCACGGCCATGTAATATCCTCTATATCAACTCTGTAAATAGAATAAGAAAGATGGTACATTCTAAGCTTGGTGAATTTTAAGCTTGTTAGATAAATGGAGAAAGATGTTTTTGGTCTTGTTATGAATGTGAGACAAAGATTCCGGAGTACAGAATTCAAAGGTCTGGGGTTCAATTCCTCATGGGGACTCAGAAATATTTCTTTGTCCCATGCTTGTGACCGAACAATAAACATCTTTCACCAATATATTACTTTATTGTTTGTGTAGTAACTAATGAGAAACGATGAGATATCATCTGGTCCATTCCTTCAGAGAGAATTGATGTAAATATGTTTTGATCCTTAATAAGCAAAAATATGATATTGTGTTAGATGCAACAGATAATGTGGCCACAAGGTAAGGTTGTCTAGTCTCCAGAAGTAAAATATTTATTCATTTTGAATTCCAATCAACAGCTTGTTGGTGATAATAGAGTTTATTTGAATACACAATAGTTAACTTGTTACAACTTCAAAGAAAAATGTGCTAAGTTGTATACAACTCATTGAAAAATTTGAAATTCCATTCCTTCTCTTTTATACAAGTCGGAATGTATTTCATTTGTTAAGTTCTTATTAACCAAGCAGGAGGTCTGTATGGGAGAATCTTGACTGAGGTCACCAGTACAGACCAGGGACCGAGGTCAAGATTCTCCCGTACAGACCAACCTAGCTCGGTTGATAAGATGTTTATTATATGGCTGTGTTTAGAAAGCAATGGAACATATTCTTTGTAACTTTATTTTCTAGACTGGTCTAGATGCCAGTCTAGATGAGAAAATCTAGACTGCTTTCAATATTGATTTCAGCCAATCAAATTTGCGAATTCGGTAGTACCCAGTCCTTGTGAGACACAGCCATGTAATAAAATATTTTATTAACCCTTTGGCCTCTAAGAGTAACTTGCATCTAGTTTCCCCTCACAATATCACTCTTACATCACACATTTTCTTGTAAATTAGTTACAAGAATTAGGTGTTAGATAGGTAAAGATAATAACTTCTACCTGATAAGTTTGGGAATTCTCATTACCTGTTTGTTGAATATTGTATGGATATTACAAGTATACGGAGACATTACGTGTCAATCATTTCTGGGAGTTAAAGGGTTAATAAAAGTCAGGTAGGTAGGTAAGGTAAACAGTCTGGGTGTGGCACAGATCCTTCCCCCCCTCTGGAAAATCCTAGCTTTACCCTTGTAAGGGTCATGTGTGACTTACTTGTGATGCTGCCTTTTTTCAGATACTTATAATGTTACCATTCCTTGATACTGTTTCTCTAGATACCTCTTGAATGATGCATGCATCCTAGCTGGTAAACCGTTAGTCTCTGGAAGCGCTCTAAGGTTTGAAGGACAGGTGAGTTGAAGATTATCCTTTGGATCTAAACTCCAGTGAAAACAGATTTTAATTTTTTAGCTCTGTCAGTCACTGGAATCAGACATTATAGGTTGCCTTTGCCACTCTGTAAATATCCACCACTACAATGTAGCCACTTCCACTTTACAAACAAATTTGAACTTGGCAAGCTTTTTATTGAAAAAATTTGGGGTTAATGCTGCTTGTTTTTATTAAAAGGTGCTACAAGAAAACATCAGAGAAATCAGTTATTTTATATACAATCATGTACTAACTGCAATTTTTTTCATTTTGTTCGACTGAAATTTGAAAAATGTATTTTGATCTGTATATTTTATTATATCTTTGAGAAAACTTTGATATTTGGTCCTTCTTATTTTGAGGCTGCTTATTTCTTGAGGAATATCCATAACTGTTTTAGCTTACAGTTTATAACCACGATGGAGGTCCATGTTACCGCTGCTTATTTCCCAAACCTCCTCCACCAGAATCGGTTGGGAATTGTTCAGATAATGGAGTCCTGGGACCAGGTAGGATTATGTCAACAAAGCCACTCATCTACAATTATTGTGCAGATTTGCATTAATTAGTACTGAACACAGATCAAAGCGGTTTGAGTTGAGAACTCTCACAACTCCACAATCCCTACTTTGTATACATATGAAATTTTTTTGATGATGTTTGTAAATAGTAAACCTCATGTTATCAGCTGTCAGGGAACAGATTGCTTGGTGTCACGCATTGTTTGAGAGAACCTTGTAACTCCCAAAATCTGATTGTTGATTCTTCTCTCTAGCTGCAATTCAATTTCTCTTAAATTAGTTACAAGAATTTGGTGTTGGCTCAAGATAACTACTGCTGCCTAATAAGTCTGAATATCCTAATAACCAGTCTGCTGGGTGGTACAAGGAGAAGTTACATGTTAATCACTTCAGGGAGTTATAGGGTTCGTAACTACATGCGCATAGTATTTACTGGTACGCGTAACTTGTTTTGTTCTTTTTCACAATGTAATGAAGTACCAGGAGTTATTGGAACATTACAAGCTCTGGAGGCTATAAAAATAATTGTTGGAACAAAATGTATCCTTTTATCAAGTTTGTTAATTATTAAATTTTTTATGAATTTATGGGGAAAGATGCCTTAAAGTGCCTATGACACTTATTTTTTTTCTATTCTACGTCAAAATATAATGACTCTTAAACATGTTTTCGCAACATTTGTGGTATTTTGCCCTTTTCTGAATTTTTTGTCAAGCTCTGTAATCTGCAGATAAAATGTGTGGCGGAGTAAAGAGGGACTGGGTGCCATGACGTCACAGTAGGAATCTTGTGGAGAGAAATATTCTTCATTGAGTCAGGGGTATTTGAAAAACCCCAAACTACACATCAAAATGGCATTTTTGGCTAAAAAGATTGTAAACAGTAGCTTCCACACTCACTTTGCTTCTTTGATAAACTTGGTGTTACTACCGTTACGTCGCAAGTTCCAGGACTCGTTAATGTGGCCAAAGAGATATGGGGAGCCTAAGTTCAACACAATTTCGGACTTTTATCACCTTGTAAAATAACAAAGACACATCAGAATCACCCACAAATCTTACCAGACACCCTCTACGTACTTCTATTTTATAATTTAATGCTAAAAAAATAGGTGTCATAGGGGCTTTAATGTTGAGCTAACTGAAAAATGGAAATTTTCACTGTTTACCCCCCACTCAGGGAAAACATTAAACAATTGAAAGCAAAACAATAGCAAAACAATGGATTCCTACATAATATGGATAATTCTAGGTAATTTTTTAAAAACATACAAACATACTTTTGATGATTCCTATAAATTTTAAACTTGTACACCAATTCTTGTACACAATTACTGTTTTGATGGCCATCTTCAATGGAATACTTAACCTCTCCACTCGCAGGATCTCTTCAACTAGTAATTCTCATTACTGTCTGCCATACAATTCCTATGATATTAGTTTGGAGAATTTGGTATTGGAGCTACTGATAATCTCCTTAATGGTATGTTAATCACATCACTTGTCTGCTTGATGTTGTAATAAAATTGAAAGGAGAAATTCTCGGTCTCCGTCACTCATGGGATTAATCATATTTTTTAATCATCAGGAGAGGTCAAAATAAAAATTATAGAGTAAGAATAATTGTTTAAGTTAGTACATTTTAAGCTAAGCAAACTTAAAGATAACCAAAAACTCCACAATCGTGTAAAATTCACGTAAACTATTTAACATGGATACCTTAACTCTGATACACATAAAACAGCATCTTATTCTCAGAAAATGTTAATTTATGATGCTTTGGATGGTAGATTTTTAACAATAAAACTACGTCCCAGGCAGTCAAACTGTGCCGTTTGTGGAGACAATCCATCAATTAGAAAGTTAATGGATTATGAACTTTTCTGTGGAGCTTCAGCTACAGATAAGGTACATTTTAGTGAAGATATTATTATGAAATAAAAGAACTGTTTTAAACATTTTGTTGACGGTCTTAGCCTTACCTCTGTACAGAGTAATTTTCAGTTGATTGCAATGCAATTTTTGATAACTGTCCAGGCTTGATCATTGTCACAATCTGAGCACCTGCACACCCACCCCTCCCCTGACTCAACGTTTATCCTGACTTGTTATCTGTTGACTGTTGTTGAGTTAGGGGAGGGGTGGGTACACATTTGCTCAGATGCTGAAATTGATCTGCAATTTTTGCCATGAAAACTTGCACCATTTTCTCTGGCCAATCAAACCCAAGACCAAAAGCTGAAAAGGGGGAAGTTATGTTTTTTCACACTGAAGCCATGAAATTAAAGTTTTTCTAACCTTTTGCTGCTTGCTCTAATGTGAATTTGTTTTACAGACCCCTTCTTTGGAAATTCTGCAAGAACAACAAAGAATCTCTGTGCATGTAAGTCAAACCTAGCTGGTAGATGAAACTTGAACCATTACGTCCCAACATCAGTATACATATTTTCCATACTGTTCTCCATACATTTTCTGAGTCAAAGGGTGCTCACAGGCTAGAATTCAATCAGCACATCTGCTGAAGGGCCAATTTTTTTCTTATTCCTCAGGAATATAAGCGGCTTATTGACGAGTGCAGCCCTCATATCCTTCTGGACGTTAGGGAGCCTGTGGAGTTAGAAATTTGTTCACTTCCAGTGGAAACGCTTAGTATCCAAAGATACTTTTTTCTTAAATTTTATCGAGTAGAAATTTGTTTTTCTTTTGTTGTGTTTTGTTTTTTTTAAGAATCATGGCCTGAAACATGTGAATGCTGAATCAACGCATCTATCATTTATTTTTACCAGGTAAAGTCTGCACTCGCGGTGGCCATCCCAGCGGGAGCATTTTACGGTATCACAATTCCACCCTGAATGGGATGCTAGTCCATCGCAAGGTTACCCCCCCCCAGCATTATTTTTATTCCCGATGCTCGTATAGTGTTTTTGTTGTTGTTCTTGTTGTTGTTATTTTTTCCCGCTAAACACAAGATGTTAACCCGGCCAGGTCTAGTACCCGAGCCTCTTGATCCTGAGTCCAGCGCATTACCCAGTAGGCCACCGGGTCTTTACAGACTTTATGGGCAGGTAATAATAATAATAATAATAATAATAATAATAATAATAATAATAATAATAATAATAATAATAATAATTACAATTCTTAAAACGCATTATACAGGAGTCTCAATGCTTTTACAAAAGATTTGAAGTACAAATATAAGATAAAAATTAACTACAAATTATAAGCGATTTTAAAAAGGTAAGTATTGAGCCTGGTTTTAAAGGAATCTAAGGTTTCAGAATATCTTATAAAATCAGGAAGTTTGTTCCAAAGCAAAGGGGATGCACACGCAAAGGATCTGTCGCACAGATTTTGGCAAAGGATCTGACCCTCAGATTTTGGCAAAGGATCTGTCCCACAGATTTGGGAAGTATCATTCCTTAACTGAAATGACTTGAAGATATTCCCTTGAGAGTTCTCCATTCCCCTGACCATCAAGATGTACTAATCCAAGCGATATTGAACCTGGCTGACAACGAGAAAAAACTGTCTACGGTAAATGGTACGTTCACAACATATATTCTGCTGAAATTTAACCGGTGAAAGATTTTTAAATCTCTGTCCTTGGTCCAGTCAAATGGTTCAACTGTTTGTTTGCTTTTTCTGGTTAAACCGTAGTTTATGTGCTTTGCAAACAAGGCAATGACTCACAGAAAGCGGTAAAGTTACTAAGAGAAACTGTGTTACACAGAAACACGAATAAAGTGTTGCGCAGCGAAGATGACTTTCTCCAGTCTGAGAACAAGCAAGATGTTCCAGAGACAAGCACGCAAGTGGATGTTGTGTTTAAAGACATTGCTGGAGGACTCTATGCGTGGGCTAAACATATAGATGATTACTTTCCAGTGTACTAATAAGACAAAGTAGAGTTGACCAGCGAGGACAGCCGATGAAAATCCAAGATGACTGATTGTTGTTGCTTAGGCTGGTAGCTTGGAGTAGCCCCTCGTTATTAATTACCATTAATGCTACAAGACGCACGTTTCTCCACCCGCGTGAAGACTGATTGGAGAGATTAAGCACCGCGTTTACGTCTAACGGCAAACGTCAGCTTGCCATTTCACATTTCACGTAAAATAGCGTGGACCTTAATGGTTTAGCTTCGCGTGAGCCCACGTCATAGTGGATTTGAAAGCGCCCTTGTTTTTAAGGGAATAGCTTTGGTACCTATTTTCCGGCAATTAACTTCTACTCTGTGAGAGGAAAAGTGAAGAAAATCTTACGTACACGGTAAACACGAATCAGGTTACTTCCACCTAGAAATGGCAAAGCACAACTGGCAAACGTGAAAAAATGACGGGAAAAACAAGGTCATGTCACTCTTGCCGTCCACGTTTCACGTGAGCGCGGTGCTTAATCTCTCTATTGTCTCGAATTTCATGTGAACGAAATAGACAAACTAGACTTGTCTGTGAAAACACCGTGGAAACACTGTGAAGCACAAAGGGCAATTGAACGCTCCAAGTAATGGCTTCCTGGTACTTTAAGTTACGGAACATCGTTTCCAGTTTTCCACTCGGATTTATGGCCGCGCGCTTCGCTTCGCTTGGGCCTTGAATCTGAGCAGAAAAACTCGCTCCGTAACTTGCAGTACAGTCCTCGTACAAGGTTATTAAAAGGTCTTTAAGAGGGCTACTGTATTTTGCTGCTGCTGTTCCCTGTTCAGTTAAGGGGTGAGTTTGTGTTGCTCAGCTTCTCGAAAGTCAGGCTGCGCCTTGTGGGCCCTTGTTCTAGTTTAAGTTAAAGTTTAAGTTTAATTTATTCGCCACAAGAATGGCAAGAGAAAGGAACACAATTTTCGTTCCGATTGACACCTAACCCCTTTATTACCCACCCATCCCACCCCGGGGAGGACATCTATCACACAGTAATCTCGTGTGTGAGAAATTACCAAATTTTGAGATCATCTGTGATCGTGACCTGTAAAGACGCTCGGTAACATGGAATTTATTTGTTAAACTGATGAGTGAGTGGTGGGGGAAGGGGGATGTGTAGGGGGTTGGAAATTAAGTCACATCCAAATGTTTTTGGAACGTCGGTAGTGGTTCCCAGGCTTTACCGAGAGGAAAGCTTTCCCAGCGAGGCACAAACTTCCCAGAGATAAAATTAACAATGTGTGAAAACATTCATCTACGTGATTCGGCTAACATCTGCCACAAAATACCAGTGACACAAGGAAACAAGAAAAATAGCGATCTGGTGCCGGCAATCGTCACGAATCAAACTCCCAAAAAAGCAGATCACCTGATCAGTTAATAGATTTTGAATTTAAATAAAATAAATTTCAGTCAAGCTTGGCTCCAAAACAGGCCACTCCAAGATTATGCAAAAAAAAAAAAAAAAAAAACAGCCAAAAAAGATTCCAAGAGAGCTCAGAAAATCTATTTAAGAGCCACTGACCGTAAACATCGAGAATCCTTAATCAGCGACAATTGCAAAATTTCGAAAGTTCGAAAATTATTCTATTATTCCGAAAGGACCTTTTTGATTAACCTTTTTCAAATATTACATAAAAGAGTTCTACTATTCTTTGCTTTCGCCGAAAAATAGAAAATTTCAAATTATGTAGGAGACTGGGGCACACATAAACTGGAAAGTACACACCCATTAAGTTGTTAATCCGAAGCCATGTGAGTTTAGTTGGCTTTTGATCGTAAGCGCGCGAAGATCTCCAAAAACCTGTCAATATTAATATTGATTAAAGCTATAAAATCGAATCTGTGTCCTTCCTTGGATACTGTCTCCAGCGGCCGGAGAATTCCGGGAAACGAAAAGTTCTATTGTGCTTTGCTTTCTCCGAAAAATCGAAAAGTACAAAATACACCGAGATGGCCGTTCCCCCCCCCCGTAAAGCAATGAAAATTATGCAGCTTCGGCAGCTTCGTACGCCACAATGCGATGCAATTCCGCTTTTAAATTTTGTGTGCTAGCGGATGGTCCTTTTACCTCTGTAAATATTTTTTTTTCCTGTATGTTGTTACGTCAGTCTGAATCTCGACCCGTTGAAATAATGTACTTTGTGTCTTTTTCGCATAGGTAAGACAAAGGTCAACTGTAATGGCCTACAAAAAGCACTAATAACATTGAAATTAAGGGAAGGCTTTAGCTCATGAATGAACAAAGTCTCTTTAATTTTATTCTTTTATTCCTCAAATTCTCTATCTTGGCCAGCCACGGCGCGTCCAGGTTGAAAAGAGTTCGGGCTATTTTGACATAAATGCAATGCGAACCGGGGAGCAAGGTTCATCAAAAGGGATCTTTAGGTAAAATGAAATAAATTTCGAAATTTTGCAACTGTCGGCGGATTCTCGATATTACGATCAGTGCCTCCTACATTTCGAAGTTATTTTACCTCATGTATATGTAATGATGCAAATTTACGCCCATATCTGTACGCATTGCAGACCTATTTTTCACTTGTGCGCATATCGGAAATACTTCTGTTCCCACGTTGGAACGTCAGTCACCTGTCACCACTGTACTGGGGCGTGGTGTTTCTGTACCGCTGACACATTCAGGAATATATTACGCATTTCCTTGCATTTCTGCGGTCGGATCGAAGCGTGCTTGACACTAGAAATTGCACCATCGAAATCGAAGGTAAGAACAGCTTTTTTTTGTAGATAAATACCAAGCAGATATCATACCATTGTTAACTCAAACGTTAGTCTTTCCTCTTTCGTCGCTAAAGCTAAGAAAGATTAGTGGATCGAAGTGAAACTCTCTTAGACTAGGACGCCTTGAGTTTAGTGGGTGGTAACACGCCAAAACACTACGTTTTCGCTCGAAACCATGAGGCTACCAAAAGAAAGGTCAGTTTCAACGATAAGAACTAGCTACATCGTGTGAACGTTGGTTTGGTTGTGATTAGTTTTGTTGGATGAGGAAATATGCATTGCACTGAAGCTCATATAATAAAATTTGCGAAGAGATTAGTGGTGAAGTTTCGCCTTCGCTTGCGCTTTCTCAACAGTAAATTGTCCTTCTAAGAGAGCGGAAAGTGGAAATTTTGATCAAAATCACCGCCGGTAGAGAACAAGAGAGCTTTTAAAGCTAGAAATATGAGGCCTTCGGTTTCAATGTACATTCATTTTGTCGCGAAGTATCATCAATATTCCGTCGAATCTTATCCACATCTTTATGCGTGTCACGCAACTCAACGGTATATTGGGACGATTTTTCGAACGCATTGCGATTAAGAAGTCGTCTTTCAACGAAGTAATTGTGACAAAGGACAGTACCAAGCGAATTTGAATGACCTTCTGTTAAAGGAACTTATGGGAGACGCTTTGGAATACGTGAAGGTTTTTCAGCCTTGCAACGCCGACATGAGACAAGAACAATTTTGTGCCCAAATATGGTAATGTTTAGAACAGCTCGTATATACGCCTATTCTTCTCGAAATCAGAAATTTAACTTCGTTTAGTTTCAAGATTTCTTTCCTGGTGAGCGCGGTCGATTTCCTTGTAACCATTCTTTGCTGTTCTTGGATACCGTATCATTAAATCCCACAAAAGAGTATTACGGCTTTGACAATGTACTTCAAACAAAATGCTTTGTTTTGTTCAATTTTTTAGACAATTCACGGTGCTTTTGTCTTTCGGTTCAAGGCATTAGCGTTAAACGCAACAAGCGAATTTCATTTTTCGACAATTGCATTTTTGCTAAAAGAAATAGCTGATTTTATTCTCTATAAATTTACCAGTTATTTTGTACAAGTTTACCAATTCTGATTTAATCTTCTATGCATCATAAACACGAGGTTGCACGAAGTTTGCATCATGTTGTCAACGGAAACTGTACATTTTTATCTTACGGTTGCTTCTGAGTATTTCCTGTTGGCGATCTCGAGCATTTTCAGCTAATGTAACACTCTGAGGTTTCTTCAAATGTACACTTGCATTTGTGTTTGAAAATTTGAACCAGTTTTGAGCTATCCAGTAAGTTACAACAAGATGATTTCATTTTCCTGTTGTTGTATGCATTCCTTATAAGGTATAATTCTGAAGGAGACAATCTCGTGAGGCTATTACTAAAGAAAAGCTTCACTTTGCTGAGCTTGCATGATTACATATGTATATAGGGCAGTGGATTTCTTTCTTGTCACAAATTGTAAAATCAACCATCAGCTCACGAAGGAAATTTTATTTCTGGTATGATGACTTTTATTACTGTTGCTAATAATTTCTTCCCCTAGTTATTGCTAATATTTAGCTTTAAGTATAAGGTCCGTCTAAATTCTGTAGTATGTAGAACTGAATGGTGTTGCAGCTCAATGAAGTAGCTTTTCAGTGTGTCTTGAGAAACAGATGCATATGTTATTAATGTTAATAGTGGTTATTTTATTCACAATTTTTTTCCTATCCCAAACCCTTCTAAGTAATTTACCAGTGTTTCTGATTTACCCTCCATTCCATGATGAAGTTTACAATGCCAGTTGCTTGTCCATTATTGTTTCCTTTTGCTATTTATTCTTCAGGACCCTATCTTGGAAGATAAATTCATAAGCTGTCAGCATGGTAAGTGAAAGATGATGTTATTCTGTACATACTGTATACTCGCTAAAAAAAATAATGCACCTAGTGCTAAAACTAGGAGTTGAACCACAATTAGGAAGAAGGGAATTTCTGACACATTTTGCAAAACATTGAATAAAGAGTATACATGAAATAAACAAAACTAGAAAAGGAGCCTTGGATAAAATCTAAGAAACAAGCATGGGTCAAGGAAATCAAAGGTAGGTTTTTCTTTTTTCCTAGCCCTCTTTGCCCACTTTTCCTTTTTCATGCTGAATTTCTGATATCATTGTAAATTAATTTCTGATTTCATTGTAAATCAATTTCTCCACCAAGGTCATGAAATAACCCTTCCCCCAAATTTCAGTGTAACACAGTAGCTGGTAACTCAGTTAAGCAAACAGGGTCAGACTTTTGTTCAAAGATACAATCTGCTAAAAATTTTTGTTATTTTCAGAATCTAGACTTAGAAAGCTTCTCAGTGGTATGATGTTTTCCGTGGCTTCTTTTAAAATAGCTCAAAGAGAACACTTTTTCTGGAATACACCCTATTTTGTCAACCAGCCCTCGCGAGTCTCTGACCAGGCAATAAGCCTGGGAGTTTTACTTTTTGCCTGAGCCTTGATGGTGACAAAGAGTATTATATCCGTTTTCTCCAGACTTAAAAGCCCCCTGTACATTCAAATTTTCATTCAAATTTGGACAGCTTGCCAGAGTCATATTTTTCTCAAGTACAAAGAACTTGTCGTGTTGCTGGAGGAGTACTTGAGCAAGGAGCAGAATTAAAAAAACTAATGCATGTCCTGCTATTTTTTGTTTTTTTGTTTTTAAGGCCTCGGGTATTAAATTGGATGAGAAATGTAAGAATATGTTCTCATTGATCAAAGACAAGCACGAACATGCCTGGGCCATCATGAAGATTGAAAATGATAAGGAAGTTGTGCTTAAGGATGTGCATGGCAAACTTGAGTCCAGATCTGATGTAGAGAAAAATAAAATTCTCTTTGAAGAGATGAAGAAGATTGTTGAAGACTTTGGAGGACCCTGTTACATCCTCTTTGACTTCACATACAAGCAGAACAGTGGTACTGTTAAAGATAAACCAATTTATATCTATTGGTAGGTGACTGGGTCTTTTTTTTTTAATTTTATTTTCAAAGGAGGGATGGAAGGCACAGTAGCTTATTGGATAGCATACTTCACTTTTTGAAAGGACCACATTGTTGTGTTGTTGGGAAGACAGATAACTTTCAGAGTTCCTTTCTCTGCCCAGGAGTATTTTTGCTGCTGCAAATGGTCAGAGACACTTTCATTTGGGACAAAATTGTCTGCTGGTTTTTTTTTTTTTTTTTTTTGTCCTAAAAAATAAAGGATTTTTTTGAGAGCTTCAGTGCCCTTCAATGACCTGCAACAGCTTTGGGTTCCCATTTAAACCAATCAGTTTCCACAAACCATAAAATCTAGGGGAGTTAAGTTTACTTATTTATTTACTTCTGTTTAAATTATTGTACAAATGCGTTGGATCTTTTAGCGTGACCTGTGTAAATAAAGGTCTGTTTAATTGAATTGATGAATGCATTAGATTTTTTTTTTTAGGTGTGATGATGACACTGGAATAAAGGAAAAGATGAAATATGCTGCTACCAATTCTGAATTGAAGAAACAGTGCAATGGATTTGAACCATTTGAATTCCATGATAAAACTGAATTCAATTTCGATGAAATTTTCAAGGAATTGCAATCAAAGGACAGGCAGTAACTTGCTGCTGTCACAATAAGAACAGCATCTAATACTTAACACTTTGTGATCGCAGTTTTGATGAATCAGTTTAGATAACAAGCGCTGCCGCTGACGGTAGATCTACGTAGCAATTTAGTCATTTGAAATAAAATAGGAGTGTAGTTGCTGCATGTATAATCTAGTTTTGTTCTTACACTGCAATGTATTTACTGAACAAAAAGTTATTAAAATGATAAATTTCATTGGTTTAAGAATGTTTTTGTTATGAGCAGTTGTCATTTATGATGTGAAGTTTAAATTGTGACTCCATGAGCAAGTTCTCTGTTAGATAAAAATTTACCTACATCAACACTTTCTGACTTGCTTTGACTCAATTGGTTTTTAAACTGAGCTAAAAATGCTTAAAAATGGACACTGGCTTTGAAATCCTCTGTCTTTGTCATGACGTTGGCTATGACGTGGCGATGATGTTAAAACAGTGAAGCATGCTCAGGCTATTGTAATCCAAGGTTCGATTTTCGCCGCTCTCTCGGGTACGGTCTTTTTCGTTCCTCCCCGATAAAAGACTTCTTTCCCTTCGGGGAGGACCGCGGGCTCCGGTTTCCGAGCAGCGGCTGGCGATGGAGCCCATTGTAATCCTGGCTAAGATGAAGTTAAATAAGAAAACCTGCAGTGAGGTGGGAGATAATAACTCAATTCTCGCCCTAGATCTTAATTCAAACATCGAATTACATCATTTATGTTTGAGCTGCAACAGTGCCGTTCATCAGGCGAAGAAACGTCTGCAAGAGTGACAAGGAGAAATATTGACCCGCTCACATCTGGGAATTGCGGGTGGTGCTCTTGCGGCGACTGTCAAGAGATACCCTAAGTAAACTAGGGTATGTGCCTCCATGAATTATATGTCAGTATTTCAGTTTTATTTCCAGTACCTCTGATAAGATTCTCTGTTTTTTCTCTCTTTTTTTTATTGAAAGATCTTTTGTACCGATCAATTCGAAGCTTTAATATACCCCCTTCTTCGAGGTAAGTCATTGGCATTTGACTGTCATCCGTACCTGGGGAGGTGGGAGATTTGAACCTTGCCTGGGTGGGGTGTGGTATTTGAATTGAAAGTGTGGAAGCTTCCCAGCTCAATACCATGTGTTTTAAAGGGGGAGTTCAAGAGAGGAGCCTGGGATGAGTCCATGCGATGGACTAGTATCCACTCCAGGGGGGAGTAGTGAAACTCTTATTAGTCAGAGACCTGAAATCTCCTTTGCTTACGAAACACCATCTTTACTGCTTTAAAATCTAAAAAAAAAAAAAATTTGGATTTAAAGGTTTAATTACCTTAAAGAGTGTGCTGGAGAAAACAACTAAAGGTTATTGCGGTTACCAAAATAGGTGACCGCTTAATAGAGTTGAAAGTTACTGTTATCGAGGGAAAGCAAATTTGAGAGTGTGACCGCCTGTTACAGGGTGGCAGCTTCATACGGTGACGCTCAATACACGTTCGACTGTGATTGAAATTATTTCAATAGTGAATGGAACGAGAGAAGGATTTTTAAAAAAAAAATAACCAAAGAAGTGGAATTTACCTTTTTATTAGCCTTTAGACGATTGCATTTTGCGAAAGGAAACTGTTGACCTCATCTTTTAATTAATTGTATTTCAATTGAAGTTACTATGAATATTGTACACGAAGTTTGAATATATGTTCTTGGTTTTTTTTAAGTCCACGGAAGTCTGCGGAGTTTTTCCTTTTATGGTCGCACCTTATAAGTAGTTCCTGTTGGTAATCTTTTGCATTGTAAAATGTTGTAAGATTCTGACGTAATTTCGATTGTATACACGCAGTTATCCGTGACTGTTTTGAACCACAAAAATCACATTGTTATGTCTAATATCAACAAGATGACTATATTTTCCTGCTCAGTCTTATTCATTCCTTGTATGGTATTATTCTGAGAAGAAAACAGTATTTATTGCTTATTGAAAATAAAAGCATCACTTTGCTGAGCTGGCAAGTTTATTGAAAAAAGGGCATTTGATTTCCGTCTTGTCGTAAGTTGCTGTTATAGGATTCATTACTGAATTCCTTATATGGTTGAACGCTGAAGAGAAAACCATCTTATTTTTAAAATGGCTCTTACTAAATTCAAGCATTTAAATTGCCGAGCTTGCATGTCTACAACAGTATATAGTGCAGTTGATTTCTGTCTTTTCATAAGTTTGAAAATAACCAAGCTACCAGCAGATCTCGCAGGAGTATTTTATTTCGGTATGATGACCTTAAATACTAAAGCTAGTATTATTTTTATCCTAGCTAGCTGTTGCTAACATTTAGCTTTCTGTAAAAGCTCTGACTTAATTATATCGAAGAAGGGATTTAACAGTGTTACAACTTAACAGAGGAGCTTAAGAATTTATTTTGAGAAACAGATGCATGAGAAATTTATCTTAATAGGACTAATAGAAATAACGGTCATTTTATCGACTTATTTTTCTATCCTAAACTCCTCTGTGTGTTCTAATAGTTTTCCTTATTTTACCTTTCCTTCCCTGATTATTTTTATTAATGTACTTAACTTTCTTCAGTACTTAGGATCTTATCTTGGAAGTTAAATTTACCCGTTGACATCATGGTAAGTGTTGGCAATATCGCGAGTAGAACCCCGCTAACTCGAACTCCCCAGGGGGAGAAAACTTGTGTTATAAGGTTGGGGTTTAATCTGAATTACTTTGTTAATCGTTAATTGGGAATATTTAGCACATTTAGTTTGTCTTATAAGAGCCTTTCGCTGTGAGTGTGTCGTTTGGGAAGTAACGCTGCCGTATGTGCTATGTTTTCATAAATGTTACAACGTTCTTGTCGATCGCGATTGAGGAATTGGATATATGTCAGTCAGCTATATTCTGACACTTGGACGTTTATCGACCAACGGTTTTAGTTACAGTTGGAGTTAACGGCAAGTTTGACTCAACTTAGTTCGAGCTAGCTGATGATAAATGACTGAAAAAAATGGGTGAAAAAATCAGGGGAAATCGCATTTTGTTCAAGTTAGTGGGGAATTTAAGTTAACCGAGTTCATGGAAGGTGTGGTACTTCTTAGTTTGCCGTATTTACTTGTATAAGCGGCTAAGTTATTTTGGAATAAAAAATTTAATTGGTGAGCCTTTTTTTTTCTTTAAGGCCTCAGGTATCAAATTGGACGAGAGATGTAAGAATATGTTCTCTTTCGTCAAAGACAAGCACAAATATGCATGGGCCATCATGAAGATTGAGAATGATAAGGAAGTCGTTCTTAAAGATCAACATGGCAAACTTGTATCCAACACTGATTTAGAGGAAAATGAAAGACTCTTTGAAGCCATGAAAGGGAAGGTTGAAGAGCTGGGAGGACCCTGTTACATCCTCTTCGATCTTGTCTACAAACAGAACAGTGGTACTGTCAAAGATAAACCAATTTATATCTATTGGTAGGTGACATGACTGGGCTGGTTTTTTTTATTATTATTATTATTATTATTATTATTATTATTATTTTGTTTTTCAAAGGAGGGAGGGAAGCTTATTGGAAAGCTAGGGTTTCAAAAGGTCAGCATTCAGGCCCTAGCTACATCGTCGTGTTGTGATGTTGGGTAAGACAAATGACTTTCAAATTTCCTCTCTCCGCTGCCCAGGAGTACACATGGGTAATGGAGCCTGACAAAATGCTGAAGTGAAAATAAACGATAACCTCAATTTCACGCAATACACGAATGGATATTTGTCTGCGGATATTATTTGTTCAGAGAAGTGAACAGTTTCTCAAGAGTTTGAGAAGGGCTCTGTAATAACCTGCAACACTGAGCTTTCGAATGACTTACCATTGGAGGC